AAATGAGGTGATCGAGGAGGAATGAAGTGCCACTTGATGCCATCGTTCGCCAATTGTCGAGCGGCGAACGTCAATATTTTATTTGCCGCGCCCACGAAAGTTGTTGCATTATCTGAATATATGTCTGAGCATTTCCCCCTRCGAGCYATGAATCTTCTTAAGCAGGCTAAGAATGACTCGGTTGTCAAGTCGCTTACTAATTCTAAATGTACTGCCTTTGTGGTGAAGCAAACGAATACCGCCACRTATAYCTTGATACGTCCGCGATTGCGATGTTGTTTTTCCTTTATGAATATGGGTCCGCAAAAATCAACTCCGGTATACAGAAATGGCCGATTTAACTGTAAGCGATTTGTDGGTAATTCACTCATTTTATATCTAGGAATAATCGGCTTCCATCGTCGACAAATGGTGCATTTGTTTATTACACGTTTCACTTCGGCGCGTCCGTTAATAGGCCAAAAATTTTCGYGAACGGCGTTAAGCGTTGCTTGTGCACCGCCATGATAGATCCTTTCATGTTTTTCACGAATTATGATTGCGGTAATGAAATGTGCCTTCGRTAATAACGCTGCGTGTTTTTGTTCATATGGTAAATCACTTCTATTTAGTCTCCCGCCAACWCTTAAGATCCCCCTTTCGTCAATGAATGGATTAAGATTTGTTATTGACGAGCGAATATCCTTTCCTGACACGATTTGCTCGATGAGTTCGGAAAAGGTTTCTCTCTGAACGGCCTTGATTATAGTTATTTCTGAATTTTTCAATTCGCCTGCTGTTAACTCCCCACTAGTCCTGTTTACAATGGTCTTTCTAACATTATGTATAAACCTGAAGCAATAGGCTACTACGCGCTTTAGCCTCTGAAATGAAGAGTAACGCCTAAATAGATSGAATGAGTTGACTGAATTCGCGATAGCCACGGTCTTTTTCACCTCGGGCGTTTCTATACTGTCCATTACCTGATGTGGCCAAAGTGATTCGTGTTGGAGGAGCCATAAAGGTCCCGCCYGCCAGAGGTTGCTCTWAATAAATTCGGTTATCGTTATGCCGCGAGATATTAAGTCTGCCGGGTTATGGTCCGATGCCACGTGCCGCCACTGCTCAGGARCAGTGCTCTCTAAAATTTCTGTCACCCGATGTGCTACAAATGTTTTCAAGATATGTGGTGGTGTTTTGAGCCAGTGTAGTACTATTGTCGAGTCAGACCAGAACACTGCGCSATGAAACCTGACTCTTCGTAGTGCATGTTTGGTGGCCCGATATAAACGTGCTAATAAAACTGCGCCACACAATTCTAAGCGYGGAAGCGATTGCRTCTTGAGTGGAGCTACCCTAGATTTTGCACATGCTAACTGAACGCTCGATCTGCTATCCGTCGTTTTTATATATATWCATGCCCCGTATGCCCTTTCGCTTGCGTCACAAAAACCATGAATTTCCARTTCTACACCGCAGTTTAAGACCCTGCGTGGAAACCTAACTTCTTCTATTCTATGCAATTCATGTCGGAATGATTGCCACGCTYTGCCTATGTCTTCTGGCACGGCTTCGTCCCATGAGGATTGTAGCTGCCACAATTTTTGCATTAGTATTTTTGCGTTGATTATAACCGGTCCTAATAACCCTAATGGATCGAAGATTCGTGCAATTTCTGATAATATATTTCTTTTAGTGACCTTAGATGGATTATCGTTGTGTTTTACCGCATAATTTATAGTATCATGCATGGCATTCCAGTGTATTCCTAATGTTTTGATTGTGGTCGATATGTCTAAACTGATGAGTTTGTTATCATTTTTATCAGCAAGGCCTCTTAACACTTCAGCGTTATTGGAGGCCCATTGTCTCAGTTGCATGCCTGCCTTGCCTGTTAGTGTGATAAGCTCGTCGCGGAWTTGCTTTGCGTCGTCTAACGTATGCGCTCCCGTTAATAAATCGTSTACATAAAAATCCTCCTTAAGAATGATGGACGYTCTTGGGWAGTGCTCTGATTCGTCGCTGGCTAACTGATATAACGTGCGCGTTGCTAGGAATGGTGCGGCTGCTGTTCCATACGTTACTGTTTTGAGGCGATATGTTTTACCGGTTCGCTCGGGGTTTGACGCCAAAGAATGTTTTGGTAAATACGATCTCGAGGGTCCATAATTATCTGGCRGTACATTTTTGCTATATCAGCCGTAAATGCGATGGCGTGTGATCGAAATCTCAATAAAATGGAGAATAGATCCTCCTGAATGTTGGGACCTACCATTAATGTATCGTTTAACGAYAAACCGCTGCTTGATTTCGCAGATGCATCGAAAACTACTCTAAGTTTGGTGGTAAGACTTGATTGTTTTGTTACGGCGTGGTGTGGTAAATAATAGCCGCCTGTGTGACATGGCGAATCGACCCTCTCCATGTGACCTAATCTTTCATACTCCGTAACGAATTCTACATATTCTTTACGCGTGTCCGGTTTTTGCGATAATGATCGTTCCAGCGCGTGGAATCTCCTTAACGCGGTGATGTACGAACTTCCTAATTGGTTCGCATTGTCCTTGAATGGTAACCTCACTACGTATCTACCTGATTGTTCCCGACGTATATTGTTTTTATAGTGATTTTCGCAAGCTTCTTCTTCGTGAGACCTAAATTTTCCCTTTGGTGTTTGCTCAATGAGCCAAAATTTTTCTAATTGTTCGTCTAATTTAGTGCTAACAGTGTGACATTTGACAGTTTGTGGATTGCGCGTATTTACATTTGTTATCACGATCCATCCTAGTCGMGTATTTTGCAAGGCTACTGATTCATTTRCTTGGAGAATGTGACCRGCGCGCCATAAAGTACAAAAGGTCGGCATACCAATAATTGCGTCTATCATTGCTGGTTGACCGAAACCGGGATCAGCTAATTGGATATTAGAAGGTATGTCTAACACACCTGATGGTATAGRTTGCGCTGGTAGGATATTAGWTAATYTTGGTAAYAATAAAAATYTAAGTTCTATTGCGTACTTTTCTACACGTGATTGCATTACTGTAACAACGGCCTTGTCAACATTGGTGTTGAGTTCATTTATTCCGACTATTGGCACGCTTACACTTTRCTGAGCGACACGCAATTTATTTGCAAAAYCTAATGTTAGAAAGTTGGCCTCAGCACCTGAATCTAGTAGCACACGGCACTTATGGGGGTTGYCATCGCGATCTAATAACGACACTACTGCGGTTAGTAGCAATGTTGGTAAAGATGTATAATTGATTYTAACACGTGAGCATAATGCAGTTAGGCTTGATTTGTCTTCGTGCAATAGTGTGTTGTGTTTTTCACCACACTTCCTACAATGTCTGGCGAAACACTTATCGATAGAATGGTTGGACCGCAAACAGTTTTTGCATAACCCCGCCGATTCGGCTATTCTGGTTCGCTCGTCGGGTTTAGCCTTTATGAATTGTTCACAAATAAAAGTATCATGGGTACCCGAACATAAGAAACATACCGTGGGGGTTCGCGATGAGTAAATTTGCACTGCGTTCCRAWATGCATTTCCTTGTGCTCTTTGCGGAATTGGATAGCGCGCGTATGATTGCGATGTATTTCGCGGATTCTCGTACCGAGGAGTCGACTTAAATGAAGTAGTTACGCGGCTCCTTCCCGTATCTCTGGAGYTCCTTGAAGGATGCAATTTAGTGAGAATTTCTCCGGTCTCAAACAAAAAATCAGCAAGCTGTTCTACGGTTGGTAACTCTCGTTTGGGACGATGTTTTTCCCAGTCATACCTTGTCTGATCGTCCATTCGCGAAACTACCGTATATATRGGAAATGCGTCGCGGAAATCCATTTTAGTTGATTTTAAAGMCTTGTAGTTCGTGATAAGGGTAATAGCAGCCTCGGTTAAAGATTCTGGCGATTGCTTATTTATCCGTGGGCATTCTTKAATTGCCTTTACGTATTTGTCAATTAGTGCGATCGGGTTGTTATAACATGAATCTAATAATTCCCAAGCTACATGATAATTTTCTGCGGTGATTGCTAAATCACGTACTCGTTTCTCTGCACTGCCCGATAGACAGGACATTAAATATGAAAATTTTTCTGTATCGGATAATTCTGAGTCCCTACCAACAATTGATTGAAACTT